GTAATTTTTTAGTGCTAATGTAACTGCTCTAAGGTTCTCTGTTCTTTCCGGAAGTGCTCGAAACTTCTCTAAAGGTTTTGAAGCTCTCATTAAGCTTGTTGTACAGCACTGCATTTAATTGAATTGTCATAAAAATGTTTAAGCTTTCACAAACTTAACTTATGTGAAGAACTATCGATAATTTTCTTAACATTTCTAAAGTTTTCCGAAAATCTGGGTACTTCTTAGAATTTTCCTTAATTTTCTGAGACAAATGGAACTGTACTCTCTCTGAAACCCTTTTTTAGGAGCTCCCGTATTTTGTTCATGAAAGTTCCTGTAGTTCTCCTATGCTCCATAGACTTCTATGAAGTTTTCGAAATGTTTCTGAAGATCATCTCTGCACTTCTGGTAAATTTTCAATGTTTTTGAAATAACTGGACCTGGTTTAAGCTCCCACAGTTTTATTTTAATGAAAACGTAAAAGTTAATATTGGGCGAATGGAAATGGAATGTCAGCCTAAATGCCCCAAAGTTGGGCCCAAAAATAAATTCAGCAAACGACTAAAATTTCAAAAGTGACCAAAAATATCCATATGTACCGTCGCAATGACGTGTTCATGTAGATACAATTGATAAATTGCAGATTTTTAGCGATGGATCCAATCTTAGATCCATAGGCCAACATAAGAGCCATTTCCCCTAGTACTATGTGTTTCACAGAAGTTCTCAAGATTTTTCTGAAGTTCATGGAACTTTCCTTAAATTATCGACATCATAACTTCTTCAATAGTCCAGCCTTTCCTGATGTTATTTAAACTGCTCAAAAGATTTCTGAATTTCCATGAAGTTATCTACCTGAGCAGGAGAAATTAACCAAAGAATACCTAATTCTGACCTGATACCAACATTTGAAATGGGCCAGCATGACATAAGAGGTAAAATACCAAAGAATAATACCAAAAAAATGCATGTAAAATGCATGATATTTGGAAACTAAGCAACTAAGTGGTAGCATTTTTTGGGTATTATTTTATGGTATTTTACCTCTTATTTTAGGCTCATGCATACTAATTTAAGGAATCGAGATATTCGTTTCAGCTTCCTTGAATTTTTCAGTATTTTTTTTATAATAACCCGCAATTTTGTTGAAATTAATTGGATTGCCTTAAAATTTACACAATTTTCCTTAAGTTTTATAATCTTTATAAACTCACACAGAATTTCTCCTTTAATCACAATTTTTTCCTGAACTTATCTGGACATCCCTACAGTTTAGTATGCTTACCTAGAGTTCTCTTTTTTTATATTTCGGTGATTTTTTTTAATATAGGTATATTCATAATTCTCTGACGTTATCGAAGTTTCCGGACCAATCTTAGAATTCTTGGAATTTCACATAATTTCACGGAATTTCTTCTACGCCACTGCAAATTTCATTGAGTTAATGAGATTGTTTTGAAATTTTCTGATCTTCTCAACCAAAATTGATACCGAAAGTGTATCAAAGGTACTTCTGAACGTGTGTCGCAGTTGGGTGTGGTGAAATTTGTGCATTTCCGGTTGATTTTCCGTGGAAATTCCGTATCACAAAATAAGTCATCGAGTTCCTTTCTTTTTTTGCTTGACGGTTCTGCTTTCGCGAGAGTGACGTTTATTGGATCCGCTTCTTTGCACGGGTGTGTTTTTCGTAGCCAGTGGTGTGTAAGTGTGCTTTTGATTTTCATTGCCTACCGGGAGGCCGGTTCATCGTGTTCGGATGTTACGCTTTCGGCGTGTGCGAGTTTGAACACGGTCCGGTTGGTAAATTAGCTGGGGAAAGTGCTGATAATGTGTTTGCCGTGAGTTTTGGTGGTGATTCGGTGGCCAACGTTGCCGTGAATCAGTGAGTTTACGGCTTGCAAAAGTGCTCGTCTGCTGGTCTCTCGCCAGTGTCGGAGATTGTGAGCGAGCTGAAGGATGCCTCGCTGGATACGCCCAAAACTGTACGGGCGGTAGCTGGTGGCCGTGAACGGTTCCTGGAGAAAGCACTAGACGCGAACCTCCTCCCATATGACCATGGCAATGCAGGAAGTATTACAACAAAGGTAATTGCTGTTAGATATTTTTGCAAACAGTAACAGATAGCAGACATGAAGCTCAAGTGGAGGTGCTGGGCAAAGTTGTTATATCCTAGAAAAATGGTAAGCTACGAATTCGCGGTTGTCATATTCATAGGCACCATCGTATAAGCAGTCGTAATCGCCGTCATAGTCGCCGTAGGCAGTACCATTAGTGTATTCAAAATTAACCATCATCCAATGAAACTATCGCGTATTTCTGTTGTTCATTACATACCAAGTGAAATTCGAGAAAGTTATTTCATTTAAATAGCTTGTTTAACCAGGGCTTCAACAATCGTCACATCGGTCATAGCTTGTGATGATTGCCTGAACCATGCGTAAAGAGCAAATCGAAACATTCAACGTCACGTGAAAGTGGAACTTAATGAAGGCCTACTTTTTTTTTCCTCAGACCAATCATAAAATTCTCGGAGTTTCACATAATTTCACGGAATTCCTTGTACGTGTATCAAAAGTACTTCTGAACGTGTGTTGCAGTTGGGTGTGGTTAAATTTATGCATTTCCGGTACGTACGTACGTACTTACTCTTTCGTAGATTTTAGTTTTAGGATTTGAAAGATCTTCAGTTGCACTGGATTGCTTACTTTTCTGTTCATGCAGAACATCGCATTTCCAGATCATTTCATATTAAAAATGTATGGTAAGATCGCTTGTTTATCGTGTATTTTGTAAAAAAAAAATGAATAGTTATAACAACACGAGTAACGGTATAATCGCTCGGTTGCCTAAGAGTATCCATTTTTGCTTACTCAGCAGAACCTCATAAGACTAATCTCAAGCCCATCTACATTCAAGATTCGTCAATCTTTTTATTTGTTAACATGATTACGTGGTAATTACAGCAACTCGATGATTAAAAAGGTGCTCGTCTGCCTAGTGGCAAACTTTTTTGCTTACTGAGCAGAAGACCGTGGATTCAATCCCAAGCTCCTTCACGTGATATGATCGGTAGGACATCAATTTAGCTTATTGTTTACTAAAACGAACCCTGCTGCAAACGAAACCCACATTGAGGATGATTGCTAGTCCCAAGCATCGTTTATTGGTGCTCTGTGTAATTACAGCTGGTCTGGCAATAACAGAGTAGAAACCGTGGGTGGTCAATCATGCTCATGCTCATGCTTGTTTTTAAATTTTCTAATCGTTCTCGAAGTACTTGGAACCTCGCTGAATGTCATGAAACTCTCTAAAAATATCTCAATTTCATAGAAGTTCTCTGGAATTTCTTGAAAATGTCGGTGCTTGCTAAAACTTCTCACATTTTATTTAAATAATGGAACTTCGTTGATGTTCGCTAATCAACTTAGCAAAATTTTCGCAGTTTATTGAAGTTCTTGAAATTTTTGTGATACAACAGTCTTATAACACTCTCACGTTTTCCAGATGTTAATATAAGCTTTATTGCATGTCAGAAATTCTCTCGGAGTTTTTCTGAAACTCCGAAATTTTCCTGAGTTCTAGATACTTCTCTTCCCTTTGATTTTTTAATCTGTTTTGATGTTCTTGGAGCTTCCCTGAGCCCCTCAATTATATTGATGATCTCGATTCTGCTCTAAATATATGTAATTCTTGTAAACACCTTTAAACTTCCCTAAAATTATATGGACTTCTGATTATTTCTGAAATATTTATGAAGTTTTCTTGAATTCTCTGAAGGTCTCTGTACTTTCCTGAGATTTTCGCAGCATGTTATGGAACTATTCTGAACTTTTCTTACCTCACGCTTATAGATCTTTAAACTACTTCAAAAGTCTTACGAAAACTGCCTCTCTGGAATTTCTCAAAGAGCCCTAGATCTAGTTTTTCCGAGGCACTTAGAACTTATCAAAAGTATCGACAATATTCCTCATGTTCTCTATATATCTTAAGTTCTCTTGATACCTGTGAGGTTCTCTAAAATTAAGAAGTGATTTGAAGATTTAAAACTTCCAAAAAGTATCCGTATTTTCAGAATGTCAACGACGTCGGCGAGAGCTTGAACCCAAACCCAATGGGGTGAGAAATAAGTCACGCTTACCATTCAACCATCGGCACATCCAGAAAATATCGAAAATTATTCGATGATAGGGTAGGGCGGGGCAAGAACGCCACCCTATGGTTAAAAGATTTTTTTTTATATATTTAATAATCGCAATAAATACATTACATTATTGTCTGTTTTAGTTCTTCAATGTCTTCTTTAGTTTCGTACACCGTTTGGAAATTTCATGTAAATTTTTGCGAGATATAGTGCACATAAAATTAACACTAGATTTCGCGTAAATTTGCGCGATATTTCATGTAAATTTTAGCGTAATATCGCATAAATTAGCAATATTTTATGCAAGCTTGTAAACGCTCTTTATGCCATGTCTAGCTCAAAATTAAACGATGGGAAATTCTACGCGATAAGTAAAACTCAGAATTTTTGTGTGTGTATGGTTGATATTTTGCAATGTATCCAAATTTGAATATTTACAAATTGAATTAGCAAAGTAACTTTTCTACACCGTTTGCAGACATCCCGGGAAAGATGAGCTCCCCTGCGGAGGAAGACTTGCACCTATAGCAGAATTTGTTCTTGTGATATTTTTGTCAATATGAAATAACAGCACGAGGTTGTAACATCAATTGAAAGTTGCAACAAACGAAAAAAAAAAAGGATATTGATAATAGCAGATTATTATTACAAAGAGAGGATTTTTTTCGTTCATCAATGTCTCGGTAGCTATTGAATATTTCTAAATCATTTTAAGAATGTTGCATCTTTGGACCATCGTTTGTACAGTTTTTTTTTATTGTAATGTCATCTTGCCCCGTCTTACCCTACAAAATTATAAATTAGCCTTACACAGAGTAGTTCAAGAAAATGTTATTTGGATCAAACATATTACCACCGCCAAATATGTACTACTTACAAATTTCTTATGTTCACTAGATTGCGTTAGCACGTTCTCGAGCCACGCCCACTGTTTCTCCGACTCGTGGCTGCTTGCTCCCGATAATGCACTGACGTGACCACCGCTACTGCTGCTGCTACTACTACTACCGTCCGCTATACTACTGCTGCCGCCACTATAACTATTTCTCCTATCACTGTACACGGGATAGCCGTTGGGGCTCCCCACTATCACTCCTCCGGGGCCACCAGCGTTGCTGTAGTCTCGGTGGTAGTGTTTGCCGAGGCCCATGTGATGATCCCGGTCGTAGCTGTGGCCACTGATGCCACCGGTATAATGAATCGACCCGTCCGGTCGCTGTTTCACGGCCGACGAGTGCGACTGTGAATATTTGGGGTCATGGCGCATGAAGTTTGTGTTTAAAGCTATTATCCGCAGATTACTTCGCTTCTGCTCGATTGTGTAGTAGCCACCTGGGGAAGAGAAAATATTCATCAGCTTGAACCGTATCCAAACATGCAACTGATTTCCCTCCTCTCTCGTGTCTATCAATAATGTTCTTGTTGTCTCGATTCCCCACTCAAAGTGTCGAGCACTATACTCGGAAATCTACTTTCACCACATTCCGCTCTTCCTTCCCCGAGGGTGAAATTCCCATAAATACCATCGATCGACCCAGCTCGGTTACTGCCGGCTAGAGGACGATAAGAAATTCATCTCCAACTACCTCCAAACGATTGCTCACCTGGGACAGGCAACAATCATCCACTTGAATCGGGCCAGAAAAGCACAATAATACAATTATGCAAATTGTGTTTACTTGTACTTTCTTGCTTTCTTGATGCCATTCGCTTACCAGCAATGGGTCTTTCTTTGAATGTTTCCTTTTCCGTCGGTGCCGAGTACTTGCTCACGGTCGGCTGGTTGGTGGAAGAAGGAACCACCATCCATCGTCCCAGAGGGCATAAACAACTTCCTCAATCAAATATTCACCTTGCTCTAATCTCTCACTCCGTCGTCCGTCCGTCCGTCGTCGTCGTTGCTCTTACTTTTCGTCCTAGCAAAATAACTTGCTTCATCCGTCTGTCTGTTCGTCTGACTGCCAGTCTGTGTCAGTTTGCCTCCCACTCAAGAGTATTTACTTACCTTTCTCGAAGGTCTGCAGGGCCTCGGAAGGCAACCAGTGGCGCCAAAGTTCACCGAGCTGGCCAAAGTTCGGGCTGCCGTCATCGTGGCCTACCACGGGGAAGACGAACTGCGACGGGAAGGTGCGACCCAGCAGATCGGTAATGTTCCGCAGAAGCTCCAACCGGCCCGCCTCGTGCAACCGCTTGGCCGAGTGTGATAGGCCATCGCTGAAGAAAAAGAAAAATTTCATGAGATGAGAAGATGAGAAATCCAACCTGACGAGATTGGGAAACGAAGGCGAGATTGAGGAAATTAGGTTTTCGCGCATGAAATGAAATTAAATCGATTGTATGGCGAGTGGTGTGTGGTGATACGTGCGGGAATGGTTCAGGAACGTTTCCGGAATGTCAAAAATGCGAGTCATTCCCATGTCACGAGCAACCCGAAACGAGGGACGCCTGCCGGAATTGCCAACTATTGTTGGTTGATGGGGATGGCAGATAATGCCGGGGTGGAAAATGTATGGTGTTGAGAGGATTTTTCGGAGCGGAATTTGCTTTTCAAGAATGCTGAAGATGTCAATGTCGGTGGTTTCTTGTGAATTCAATGCAGAACTGAATGGGACAGGCTCGATTCGCTATGAAAAGTGTTTTTCGGAATTATGAAATCAATAAATGTTATGATAATATTTAGCATTTGTAAGTTACGAGAAGAGGTTGTAAAGAGTATGTCTTTCACATAAAAGTTGACAATTTATTTGTTTAATATCGAGTAAATGAGTGGATTAAAATGATTAAATCGCGGATTGTGACTCTCTAAAAGAGAAGTGAAATTTCAACTTTGGTTCGTCTATGTTGTAATGTGATTTATTTGATAATTTTTCAGACTGTAGAATAGGATCGATATTTTTTTTTATAAGCAGGATAAAAAAATTTAATAGTAGGTATAAGTTTGATTATCTTTAAATAAAAAATAATTTGTTTTTGTGACCCAGGACTGTCGTTTTGATCACATTTTTTTGTAACTCATTCTCATAAAATTAGCAAGCTTACTCTATCAAAATAGCATTGCAAGTTTTATCGAGGTTTTAAAACATGCTACAAGTCCAAATCATGGTCTACAGTAGTGATGCACCAAATAGTGCTATTTGACCAGGTATTAAGCGTTTACACCATCATGTTATCTGATGTTCGGCCTTTGCTCAGCTAACAAGTGGCCAACAATGTGTTTGAGTTAAAGCGATTGCAAAGCTTGCTTTACGGAAGGAAACCGACGTGAGGAAGCTGCTTCATCAACAGAAGCAACTTGTGGAAGAAATCCACTCTCAAACGGACGCGAACCACCGCATTGCTGCTGACCTAAAAAGTAGAAGGGTCTGTGCCTAGGGGCACGAACGGGAGCTTGACGTAGGACTGCTAGGGCACGGAACAAATGTGAAGAAAATTTAGTTCTTTTAATTGATCGATCATCTATTATCTTAACTCTTTCCGTTTTTGATTTGTAGGCGTACCAAATTTGTAGTATTTTTTTTCAAAGAGAAAGTATATGAAGAGAATCGATCAAAATCACTTGCACCCCTGCCTCCAAGTTTGAAACGTGTGATTCACAAGCGCGTGTGACAATAACCGGCATCAACGAATCAAATTCGTTGATGTCACAAAAAATTACAAAATCACTTGACAAACGGCTATCAAGCTTATCAAATGACATGGCATGGCACTTTCAATAAAAAGGGCCGAATCATCACCTCATCATCATCATTTAGAGCCGAAACTTCTGGAAATTCTTGAGGAAGTGAAATTTGTATCTGGGCTGTTTCTAGTCTTCAGATAAATGCTGCAGAACCTCATCAAAAGACATTGGAGGAAGAATTAGCTGAAAGTCCTCCAGTACACAAAAATACAATATCTCCAAAAAACTGACCATTTATCTCCTGGATGGCGGTTTTTAGGCAACAAATGGCACTGGAAGCAGGACTGGTCTAAATTTGACGCAAAACAACGGACTCGCAGGTTGCAGGAAAAAGCTGCTGAAAAAGCCAAACGCAGCAGAAAACGACGAAAACAACAACAAATCCACACCAGCAGTACCAAAAACATCATCCAAGGAAATGACAACAACTACTGGCCACAGCGAAAGAACAATTTGCTGGACTGCCATTGACCACCGACCACCCAATTGCAGCCCTCTCGGTCCCAAAATTTATCAACTTCAGGAAGGGTGAAACCATCAGCCCATATCGAACAGAAAAGCAGGTACAATACAACAACTAGGCTGAAACGCCGTCATCACTTCTGCAATCAAATACAACATCTCGATGGTAACTCGACTCTATGCGTCCACCGATCGTAAGCTTGACGCAGAAATCTCCAAATCAAAAATAGAATGACTGACATGCAACACGGCTTTTTCAAGGGTCGCTCGACCTCGACAAATTTACTTGAATGTATAGGCTATTAATTGAATGCAATGGATAATGGAAACCACGTAGAAGCCTCCTTAACAGACTTTAGCACTACCTAGGAGTCTAGGACACATCAACGAGTAAGCAGTGGAGTATCTGTTCATATAGAAAATTAAATTTAAGTTTACCTAGTTTCTAAGTGAAAATGTACCTGTGTTAATATATATTCGGTAAATGCGATGTTTTTCTTCAGTCGAGTATTAGTACAAGACACTGAAGAAGTCTGCACATTGTAGACGAAATACGCGTATCTGTCAAGGATAAGCAAATAAAGTAGTGGAATTAAATGGAAAATACTAATCCTTCTCTCTCTCATCAGACTTTAGCAAAGCATTTGACCGCATAGACATACCAATGCTACTTTTTAAATTACAGGGCTCCTAAAATGGCTGGAATCATATTTAACTAACCGCCAACAAATAATTAAATTCTACGGAAAGAAATCGAGTCCAATTCAAGTCATTTCAGGCGTACCCCAAGGCTCTCATTTGGGACCTTGTCGTTGAGTTTTTTCCCGGAAATTATTGTTAAACTAGCTACAATTAATTAAAAATGATTTTTCTCCATATAGTTTTACCTGCTTTACTATCAGTTCGCAGAGAGCCAAAAAATTCAAATTTGAGAGAGAAAATTTGCTCTCACGACCTCAATCTCTCAACATGCCATGTATTTTTTTAACACTCGATTTGTGATTTCCGTTTCACAGATTATACAATACAGTACCTGTCACTACAAAACATGTCTGGTATCTCTATATATGCATTTACTTTATGATTTGAAATCCCTCCTTTTTTACACATTCTGCGCAAAAGATAATTTATGCCCCGCCCCATACATAAAAATCGGGTGAGCTATTTTGTGAGCAGAATGTGTAAAAAAGGAGGGACTTCGAATAATAATCTAAATGCATATATAGAGGTACCAGACATGTTTTGCACTGTAGTGTCCTCTGTGAACAATTATAGGAAAACAGATTGTGTGTAGTTTCCGATAGATGTCACCGCAAACAACAGCAGTGACATCTGATGGAACATGAATGCAAAAGCTTGACAAAATGATTAATTATCTTAGACTCTGAACTAACTTTCATAGACCATTACAACACAATTATTCACAGGGCAAATAACATGCTAGGTTTTATCAAGTGCTTTTGCTATAAATTTCAGTACCATACACAATTAAAACACTATATATTGCCTATGTGAGGTCAATATTGGAATGTTGCAGCATTGTATTTATGTCTCCTTTTTCAATTACGCACGAAGAAAGGTTAGAATCCGTACAAAAACAATTTCTATTATACGCTCTTCGTAAATTAGGTTGGACATCATTTGCTTATAAACATACAAACATTAAACGCGCATTGACTGCACAGAACTTTTATCAAAATTGAATTTCCATGCACCTACTCGGCAACTCCGAAATTGAAATTTAGTTGCCATAAAACATCATCGCACAAATTATGCAAAATATGGGCCATTAAACCGCATGATGGCCTCTTACAATCAATACTGCGAAACTATGGACTTTACAATGTCTCGGCATAATATAAAACAATATTTTTTACTCCATAAGGCATCATAAAAAATAGGAAAGCTGATACTGCTTAATTTTTATTAAAGAAAAAATTATACTTTTAACCTCTTTTCCAAAGTTGACGAAATAAATAAATTTAAGAAAACAAAACTGTATTCGAATATGTACTAGTCTTCGTTGGTTGACGAAATAAATAAATATTCGGCCCAAATTCTATACATTTGAGTGAAACTTTTGTGGATTGAAGGAAAATCTGTGAACTTCTCGGAATTTCAACAAACATCAGGGCACCTCTGCGAAGTTTCCGAAGGAAATTTCCGTCAACTGCAAACGTATTGACTAGAGTTACTGTCATTTCAATACGACTCTTGTCACCGAAAAACAATTGTGAGAATACGAGTTCATCGGCGTTCATCCGACACACTTAAACAGACACCATGAGTTCAGTAAAAAAAATTACCGTCTTAGATCGGTAATGCTAAAAATTACATATGTTTCGGTAATTTTTCGCTTTATTGCTGGAAACTGTAAATGAATTGACCGGATTTTGGTAATTTAATTTTAATTTAACGAAAACAGTAAACCTTTTTACCGACAGCTCTGTTAATCAGCTTCATCACTGACTTCGGTGAAATATTTAACTGAAGTTTCTTTAATCAAAGCGTTCCATTACTGAGTTAAAAACGTTCGTGCTTGTGAAAAATAAAAAGGTGAAATTATGGAGGCTGATATGCAACACCAAGATTATTTATTTATTTATTTATCACCGTCTTCGACTAGTCGTACAGACTTAACTATTTTACTTATAAACTAGAAATTACTACTATTCCAATTTCTAAAAACGTTTTTAGTCAAGTTAAAATCGAATTCGTCACAGACAACATTGAACAAGTGAAGACACGAATCAGAAGGGTTGTTGTAGCCGTAGTTTGTTCTGTGGTATAGGACTGCTATTAAAGCTGAGCTCCGAAACCGTCGAGGAGGAATGTTGAGCGGGATCTGTGAGAGAAATTCAGGGCATTCGATAGATCCTCCAATAACATCGAAAATAAATAGCCGCTGCATCGTTACTCGTCTGACAGATAGTGGTTCCAATCCTATGAGCTTGCATCGGTCAGAATAAGGAGGAAGATTGGTCGGATCGTTCCAAGGAAGTTGTCTCAGTGCACCCGTTCAATCGTGAGAACATGAGCTACATAATAAGGGGACCAAATCGGAGCAGCGTAC